GTAAATGTGCTTATTCCATACTGGGTTAGCTCAAAACTGGATTCAATGTGGTAAAAAGGAAAACGTCAGTATCTTGAAGAAGAGTAGGCAGACATTTTGGTAGAGGGGAACATGGAAGGAATAGGAAGAAAAAATTAATGAAGACCATGATGACCTAGAAGCTTCCAGAGTGCCCTTATGGAAATCCACCTTGTTTTTTAAGGAAGCTCCTCATCTGTACTTACATCACCTTGTGTCCAAATCAATTCCTCTGCTTGGAAGAGTGCTCTGCACTCTGGTCCCCAGAGGAGGACTTAGGAGATCACTGTTCAGAATACTATTGCTGTATAACAAATCACTCCAAAACTCAATGATTTAAGACAATCACTTTATTGTATTCACAATTTGGCTGGCGAGGAATTCAGCAGAAGCTCACCTGGGTAGTCCATGTTCGGAGCATGTCAAGCCATTGCAGTCAGTTGTCGGCTGGATGTGCAACCACCTGAAAGCTCAGCTGGGCTATGTCTTGGATGGTACACTCACAAGTCTGGTTCTCCGCTGGGAATTCAACTCAGCTGTTGACCAGATACCTGGTGGTCTCAGGTGTCAACTGCATGGCATCTTCTGATCTAACCTTAGACACTGCAGTCACTTCTGCCATGTTCTTAGTGAATCACTGATGTTCCAGTGGGGTCACTGAGTTCACTATGGTTGGCCCAGATTCAAGAGGAGGGAACACAGATCCTACTACTTAGGAGGAAGGTCTGCAATTTGCAGAAGCATTTTAAAACCACCAACGGCACTCGTGTGAACATGAAGCAACAAAGCAGAGCTCTTAAAGTCTCGTGATGATCAGACCTCCTTCGAGTTTGATGTTTTGAGGAGGACCAGAAACACTTTATGGTGCCTACCCCCAACCCTGTGTACTCATCATTTATAATCTACTGCCCTCAACCTCTGGAAAGTGTATCAACAGTCTGACACATGAGGTGAGGTGGACAGGAGTGATGGCTGCAAACTGTTCCATTACCAGCTTGTTTCCTAAGAAAATTCACAGATTTCTATTTAATTTATGCACAGAGTACCCAAATGGTACAGACAGAAGCATCATTATTTGTTAGCTACTTTGTGCCTGGCACTGGCTCATGATGTCATATGCTCAAACTCCCTGTGTTACTAAAGTTGGGAGGGCAGAACAAGGAGTGTGATGTAGTGAGAGAGGAGCAATCCAGAGACCACAGTAGATGTTTGGGGGGATGATGAGGAGCCATTTCAGAACCTGAACTTCTGTGACTGGGACGGGAGTTGTGCGGGGTTTGTGGAATGGCATGATTCGAGGCACACCCAAACAGTCTTGTGGAGAGTGAGCTGATGGGACAGTGGCAGGACCAGGACCAGTGTCTGGGGGGCTAATGGAATCACTGAGAGGGAGTGGACTGGACTGCGGAAGCAGTAGCTGAATCACGTGAAGTGGCCGTGCCGGGGATGTGTAGCGAGGGGGTGCTTGTGCTGAGGCTCGTGTCTACAAGCTTGCCTATGCTTTCAGCACACACTTGCAACTTGTGTTCATTTGGTAGACGGCCAGCTGACAGGACTCCTGCAGCAAAAGATATTAAGATGCTCCATCTGACCATGAAATGAGATATGAAAACTTACAAGCCCCCAAATCACCTGAGTAACAAACTGTTTTTACACAAGTAGATGAAGAAACAAACACATTTCTCCTTGACCATATTTCTTCCTTTTCCCTTTCTCCCTCTTGGGTCAATGCAAGCAGATGTCCCAACTTATTAGAAGGTGCTCTCCAACTTCTCTAGTTCCAATAACTTGAGGGAAAGTGCACAGCAGAACTTTCTACATGCTCAGCCTAAGGTGGCATTTTCAAAGAATGGGAAGAATATAGACTCTTAGTTTTATAGACACTTAGTTTTGTTCTCCATCTGTTGAGTAATGAATGATACACACACAAAAAAAATCAAAAAACTTAAGGATTAAAAAATCAAAGGGTCAAAGTCTTTAAGGATGCAGTAGATCTTTTTGCTGGGCACTGAGGATCCACAGACTGGGCCCTCCTTTCTGGAGGACATGCACACAAGCATGCACACAGCCTTACTTCAGTGGACTAAAGCAATGAAGATGCATTTCTTGCTTGTGCTAATTCCATCACAGGTTCAGGGCAGCTGTGTTCTATGGGACGGCTCGGTATCACACTTCTGTCCACAAATGTCCCCATGACTTCCATGAAAGAACAGTCATGGAGAGAGCCTCTTGCCCACACTGAAAAGCTTCATCCCAGCTACTACTGCACTTGCTAAGCAGATCACAAGGCCTAACCCAACCTCAAAGAGATGGAGACATCTGATCCCAGCAAGAGCCCAGAGGGCACACAGCCAATGTACTACAGCTATGTGGCAATTAAAAATAACAGCATGTAGAACAATTTTTAAACATGGGTAAACCATCTACAATGTATCAAGTGGAAAAATAAGTATATTCCCATTAAAAATAGATCTGTGTGTATTTATTTAACATATAGCATAAGTTTAATAGTGTTTTCTCTGTGTGGTAAGATTAGAACATTTTTAAAAACTGTTTCATATTATTTGTTACTTTACTTTTCTTATATTTTAGAGAATATTTTAATGCAGAGAAGAAACAAAGCTATATCTGTTCTTGAAAAATACAGTAACCTGACTGGCTAGGACAACTGCTCATTGCCTTAGCTAGGATTCATTCCTCCTGGGCCTGAGCTACCATGTCTTAACTGCAAAACTGAGCTGCTGAGAGGCAGAGCTCACATGGAGGTGCTGTGCAGACAGCTATGTCCTGAGCCTTGATGACGCAAGCAGGCCTTCCCAAACTTCAGCAGAGAGCCAGCCCACCTGCCTCACACAAAAGCTCATGACATGCAGGCACAGTAAGGTGGGGCATCTGCAAAGGCACATGCTTTCCAGTCAGACGGATGGACAGATGGAATCTTCTTGGTTTTCTCATCTTCAAATGTAAATGGTGAGGGAAGATGATGCCTTGCATAAGGGTTACCAGGATTCAATAACATAATGCAGGTAAAGCACCCAGAAGAGAGGGTGCTAAATAAATCACTGATACTACCATGATACTATGTCAAGAGCAAACACAACAAAAGCTAAATTAAGCAGCGTAGTAACAAGCAAGGAATATTTTATTGTATGTATATTCTCAAAAAAAAAAAAAACCACAAAAACAGCATCCACAATAGGAGCAGAGAACAAAGTTTTCTAGCCTCTCTGGGATATGCAGGGCACCATATCTTCTAGAAACGCTAGTACAAGAACAAAGAGTACTAATTAATATCACCCTCTGCTTCCCCAGTCAAAAAAGGCTATACAGGAAAACACTTTAAATTGTACTCTAATATAAATTTGCTGCACAATTAAACTTCAACTTATTCAAAGTTATTGTAAACTACATAAAATAGAGGAGGCATTCGATAATCTGCTCACAATTAACAATTAAGCAATAGACACTTGAATAAACATAGCATGTATTACTTATTTGTTAAACCTCACATATCTAATGAGCAGATGTCATTAATAACTGGTTTCTTATTTTTCAGGAGAACACCAGATTCAGTAACAGAAGTAGAAAGAACTTTAATGAAAATTGATTTTAGAAAATATCTCCTGGAGTCTGAGCTGCTATAGTTTGTATTACATATTTGGGTCAATTTCAACAGTTTTAAAAAATATAGATACTAACAAACTGAATCCTTAAAAGGGAGAACAAAGTGGTATGTTCTAGAGTAATATTTTTTTTTGTTTATATCCTCTAGGTAGCAAGACAGAAGAAGGACGTAGTAAACAGAGATTTACAAGGTAGTGAATAATAACATGTTTCTACCTAATGCTACAGAGGTATTGCTATCACTTAGACTTATTTAAAAACAGGGACGATTTCAAAATATGCTGATAACGAAGAATTGGCATTTCTTTATCACATACATTCTAGATCTAAACATAAAGATCTTGTCTAATTTTTTGTACTTCTTAGTCCCTATTTGTACAAATTAGCTTGAAGATTCAGGAATGGAAAGAACAGTAAACTGCTACATGAAGAACTATCTTAAGCGACCCGTTTAAGAGAAACACAGTCAAAATAAGGCAGTAACTATCAGCTATCTGTATCTTCCCTGTGCGCCTAATCAGTAACACTGAGAAAATAATCTTCTCCCCTCTATCAAAAATATTACTGCATTTGCAACCTCACAAGTGACAGAGACAAGATCAGTCTGGCAAACACATTTTTTTAATGAAAAGAGATCACAGGCTCAGGCAAAGAGTAAACCATACCTAAACACTCTAGAATTTTCTAAGGTATCTCACGCTGATTCCTCCTTAAATATAATTTTCCTCCTTGATTCATATTAATGCCTTAGAAGGCCTAAAATAACTCTGTGCTCTCTATGGAGCACAGGGTTGTTCATTAAGACTTTTTTAAAATAAAAAAGTTGGAAAGCTATGGTGTATTCTCAGCAGCTGTGATATTCTCTTCTATCTGCCACAGACATTAAAAGGTCATATTTTACAGAAGTTAAAGAAAAACACAGCCAAAGGGCAGCACTGCTCCACAGGGTAAGAGCTCCAACATGTTCTACTCTCCTTTCAGGACTTAGTACCCAGAGAAAAGCACTTCTGTTTGGGGTGAACCACTGACTGACTGAATACATGAAGTTGAACATTCAACCTTGTGGTTAAAAAGTTACCATTGTTCAATTTGTCTTCCACAGTATGTTAGTAATGTACATTTTGCAGAGTCTAGGAAGTGTTTTTCAAAGAAATACCTTTTTCAGGTGATGTAACAAAAAATTATAAGGAGCAACAAGATCATTCTTATTTCTCAAGACAATTCAGCTTCCAATGCAGATCATTCCAGAACATGGTGCACTGCTGCCTTCACTTTCCAAAGTTATTTTTTTTGTGTCACACAGCCATTAAAAAAAAAACTTTGCTTCATTGCCTGTCTTAATTTTTTTGCCCCCATAAACCATGTTTATAAAGCAGATTTAGTCCTTTAGTTATCAAACAGAATGATGACATTGTCTTGATATGATCCCACTGCAGTGATGCAGAAGTTTTTTTAATCCATATCCATAACAGAGATATTGTTGCTAACTATTTTTACATCAGTCTTTTCAAAAAGTAAGTCTTTCTGCACTCACTTCCATAACCCAAAACCAAAGATACACGTGCTGTTAAGGCAACAGACAGAGAACTATCGGACTATTAAAAGACGGGTTCCCATTCCCTGCCTCTTCCTCATTCTAGTACTCTTGGTCAAAAGCTTTAAAATGCATTTTAAACAATAGCTTTTGGCAGTTGTGAAGATGATCTAAAAGTTAGGGATTACTGAGCAGGACCTGATGGTCACCCATTACAGCTGTGGGCCACTAACTCCCTCCTATGACATGGATAATACCAGTTACAACTAAAAGTCAGCATCACTTACAAGCCCTGGAGTGCTTTTCTGAGGAGCATATTAAATTCCCACAATCTCGCAGGGGCCCGTCTTGGGACTACAGGTCTGAAGGAGGACTGGGCTCCATGAGGCAGACTGCTCTTTCCCATCACCACCATATGGCAGCTGGGTCTTCATTAGTCACTACTAGCTGATGAGAACGCGTCGGGTGTTTGTGTGACTCTAGTTAACAGCACCATAATAAAGCTATGCCCTCAGCACATTTGAGGGAAAGGGAAAAATGTGGACTGTCTTGGTTACTAGAGAAATTTCACAACTCAATAACAACTGAAAAAGTCACCCATGGCTACTGGCTGGAAGAGAAACAACTGAAGCGAGCTAGATGCTAAGCACAGAGTACGGTGCTACCTGCAGAGAACAGACATCTGTAAGTTAATCAGCAACCACGGACAGAGAATATTCATGTGTTACCAGCCACAGGGAGAGACCTCTGGTTTCCTAAGTTCCTGCTGCACACCTGGAGAAAGGGAATACAGGTTGTCCTGACCCCAACACCTGCTCCAACAATAGGCTCAAGGGCCCTTGAAGGCCCGCTAGTCTGAGTGGACATGTATTTGAACTTGGGACTGCTTTCAGGAAGATTTAAGCATTAACTTTTTGTTCTATTTATTTTTCCCTCTAAAACTCTCATTTACAAGATTACTCTTTCCTTACCTATGAGGTCACTGTTCATGAGGAATTTCTGTTGAATTTCATTCCTCAGGGAACCACTACAGACAGAGCTTTTCCACATTAGTTCCACAAGTGCCCCAAAACACACCTTTACATTTTTTTCTTTTAAAAAATGTTGATTTGTTTTTAGGTGGCTACTGCCCATGCTTGTGACAGTGGCTGTGGAGCTACATGGGAAGGATTTCACTTGGTGGAGGCCACTGTTGATATCACCCAGCTCCCGGATCAGTGTGGAGAAAACCCAGTTGCCAGGCTGCAGCCCACCACAGGCGTCATGTCCCATATCTACAAGGGAAATAAGACACATGGAGAAGGCAGCACTGACCATGAGGCTAGTATCAAGTCTACGCTGACAAACAAATTGCTGCTAACCTAAAAAAGTTGTCAAATAGTCAATTATCCCATTCTCCTCTCTCATTACAAAACCTCTTAAGATCTACAGAGAGATAAAACATGCAGTTTACTATGACCTGCAAGAATCTTATATGCAGTATAAGAAAGTAACATTATGGTAATGTTTTGCTATACATTTAAATTTTTTAAAAATCCCATTGGGAGTATAAAATATTTCACGGTTTCACAACTCAAGAGGGACACTAAGTACAAAACATTTGTGATAGTGACCCAGAGATTTAATGAAGAAACATGTGGCTGTCCCTTACAATTAGACTGCCCTCGGTCCACAGGTAAAGGAGCATTCAAAGGCCTGGAAGGCATAGGCACAGGCACCAGCAAAGGTCCAGGCCCACTGGGAGGAAGAGACCTGGGGACAGCCCAGGACCCCAGGATCTGAGGGCAGGCAGGCCTGGCTAACTCACTTTGCCGTCCTCCCACAGCAAAGGGAAACCCCAGAGATTCCCTGCCACCAGGGAAGCAATTTGTCACAAGCATGCAATTTGTCACTTGGGGTCTCAAGTGGGCAGTAGGTTGCTTATGAAAAGGGAAGGCACATTCACCAGTTGAAACAGCAACTGTCTGGAAATGTCTGAAGCTCATTCGCAGTGTGACGATGGAACAGCCCAAACTGAGATGCTGAGACAACGCGCCAGCTTACCTTTACAACACGGTCGGTCCCACAGGTCACCATCAGTCCCCTAGCAATGTCCATGGACATGTGGGAGATGTTATGTTTGCCTTCATGAAAGGTTGCTAGAGAGGTCCGACTGACAAAGAGAAAAGAAGTCATCGAATCACCTTACCTCCAGGAGTGAAGGGATAAGGGGTCTTGTCAGCAGTATAAACAGCATAAACATTGAAAATAATACTGCTAAAATTAGATTCTAAAAATGTGACTAATTTAAATGAAGACTAATTTAACATTAAAGGATGACAGAGAGCAAAATAAATTATAAGACTGTTYTACCAAAGGTTTTATAAGACACTCAAAATAGCTTATTACTTTCAATTGGAAAGGCTGATGCATAAAATGCAAGCCTTTAACTTAGACTAGGAACTGTTAAGATCATATGGCACAGGCAAGGCATCCATCCGAAAGCTGTGGGATTCTCTGAAACCCGTTTGCCTTCCATAGGTGCAGTGCTTGCTTTCACAGTGAAGGCACCCACTGTGATCTACAGCCCAGCAGCCGTTACTCCCACCACTAGCTCATTTTACAACACTAGCCACGACACATTGGCTTTCCAATTTGAGCCTCTGCCCAGGTTTGCCCATCTACTGCTTTAAAAGTGATTGAAAGGGGGAAAAAAAAGGCAATCGTGGTTTTGTCCCAGCAGAATCAGGTATGTAGACAGATGTACACTTACAACAAATAGTTACTTAAGAATAGAATGCTGGGACTTCACAGAAGAAGAAATTCGAATGGTCAACACATATAAGAAAAAAAGTTCAACATCTCTAGCAATTAGAGAAATGGAAATTAAAACTACACTGAGATTCTATCTTACTTCAGTCAGAATAGCAATTATCTCTTGATAATTGATAATACAAGTAACAATAAATGTTGGTGAGGATGTGGGGGAAGAAGGCACACTCAAACACTGCTGGTAGGACTGTTGGTACAACCACTCTAGAAAGCAGTAAGGAGATTCCTCAGAAAACCTGGAATGGAACCACCATTTGACCCAGTTATCCCATTCCTCAGTTTATACCCAAAGGACTTAAAATCAGCACACTATAGTGACACAGCCACATCAATGTTTACAGTAGCTCAATTCACAATAGCTAAACTGTGGAACCAATCAAGGTGCCCTTCAACAGATGAGTGCATAAAGAAAATGCGGTACAGACAAACAATGGATTACTCAGCCATAAAAAAGAATAAAGTTATGGCATTTGCTGGTAAATTAATCTGTAGACTATCATGCTAAGTGGAAATAAGCCAATTCCCCCAAAAGAAGAGTCAAATGTTCTCTCTGATATGCAGATATTAACACACCATAAGGAGGAGAGAATAGAAATTCATTGGATTAGACAAAGGGAATAAAGGGAAGGGAGAGGGGATAGGAACAGGAAAGATAATAGAATGAATCAGACATAAATAAATACATGACCAGTATAATTCCACATCATGTACAACCAAAAGAACAGGAAATTATACTCCATGTATGTATAATATGTCTAAATACATTGTATTGTCATGTATATCTAAAAAGAATAAATTAAAAAAATAAATTTTAAAAAAGAATAGAATATAAATATTCAGTTATTTATAGAAGAAAGTGTACTGGTCTGTAGAGTTTTCCTAGTAATTAAGTTTGTACACACATGTACACAAAGGTCCGGGCGCTGAATGTTTTTGTAGACAGCTAGCTCAACTGCTGCCATCCACATGCTCTTGGACTTGCCCCTGCATGCTACCCTACACGATGCTGAGACTCAGGATTGTCCAGTTCGCTATTGGGCTGGTCCCAGCATTCCTCATGAGAAATCTGTACCACTAATGGGGCAGCTTGAGATGAACAGTGGTAGTCATAAGTCATAATACTAGGCCAGAGTTTCCTCTTTAAGAAATGGTTTATGAAATTCAGAAGAGACAAACACTTGGCAGAAGAGCCTGTTCGTATTTCAGGTATCCATTAGACAGAAGCAGTAAGATGCAGTAAGACAAAACATGTGAGCACTCACTCTTCATCTTTGATGGAATCATAACAGGAATCACAAACACGGACTTGGAACTCGAAACCCATGACCGGGTAGCTGGAGCGCTTGCTGCTGCACTTCCCACAGACGGCCTGCCCACACTTCCTGCAGTGATGCTTCCAGGGTCACCAGAGGAGGAGAACAGCAGTTAGCCTTGGCTATAATGCACATGGGAAGCTATGCTTTGAATTATAATCACCCAATTCAATTTATCAATCAATAACTTCAACATCAGTCAAGGGTTTCCAGATAACCTTGCTCCACTGCTCATAACCTGTTTTCTATTTCTTCATATTATGTCTATTTCTTCATATTATTTGTTCATATTATGTTATTATTAAAACTGAGTTCAAGTTCATTTAGGAGCCCAATCACTGCAGAGTCTGTGAAGGATAATCTATTCCTCCATCAAAGAAAAATTTTAAGGTTAAAATGTATTATGTCCTCATTAGGACAAAAAAAATCTTTGTTTGTTTATTTGTTTGTACTGAGGATGAAACCCCTCTGGGGTTTAACCACTGCTTAACCACTGAGCTACCCCCCGGCCCCTTTAATTTTTTATTTTGAGACAGGGTCTAAGTTGCTTAGAGTATTGCTATGTTGCTGAGGCTGGCCTTGAACTTGCAATCCTCTTGTCTCTCCCAAATTGCTGGGATTATAGGAGTGTGCCATCATGCCAGTGAAAAAAAATCATAATAATCTCTCAAATTGTGATTCAGGAAATAAACTTAGAGAACATTCCAAAAACAGTCCTAATTATCATTGCTGATTTTGTCACATTCTTTTTTTTATTATTTGTTTTAATTAGTTACACATGACAGTACAATGACCTTGACATATCATACATTTGAAGCAGATGGGAGTCACATTCTTTTACCATTAAAATTTCATGACCAGCATCTTTTCTGTTCTATTAGTTGTTAATGAGTAAAATTCATTCCTTCATGTGTCCTTTAGAAGTGAGGAATACTTCTCCCAACAATTACAATGCACTATCTACTGCTAGACATGCATTGCAAGAACTCTACTAATGACAGAATTCAGGGGCTATTCCAGAGCATTAGAATGTTAATGAGCACTAAAATAACTCCTGCATTGGCTGCCCATCTCAGATTAGATCTTATGGTAGGGTAGCTTTGTGAGTGAACTCAAAGGAAGTTTATTAACACATACAAATAAAACTTTAGGCTGATCTCTCACAGAGATGCAACCAGAACAAAAGGAATAAAATCATCATTCTCTTTTACGTACCTGCAAAAATGCATATTCACCCTGAGTGAGGAGCTACCTTCAAGGCTGCTGTAGAAATATATTTTGTTGTAGAACTTTATTATTATATGAATAGAAAGTGTTATTTGTACCTTGGAAATCTATAGGCTATTTGGGACATGTTTTTTTGATATAAAAAACAAAAATCAGTCCTCAAACCATATTTAACAAAAATGTTCCAGGTATGTTTGCACTGGAACAATTTAGAATAAGCTAAATTTCATAGGTCAGAATATGCCAGTGAGGACTAAACTGCTACTTCTTACCTGACTGCAGCAGCATAAAGCATATAAGTGTGTGCTCTAATTTGTTCTAATTTATACGTGGCTGGATGAAATACTGACTTCACTAACACTCATAAACTGAAGGAGTATCAATTTAAAAAACCTCACTGTTTCTACATAGGACAACACCAAATAGTTGCGTATCAAGTCTCACTGGCCCCAGGAAAAGTGGTGCTCATCATGAGTCACATGATAGTGATATAAAAAATGTAGGAATTCACAGAATTTCCAACAAAGTGTGATTTCCCTCGAAGATCAACAGATTCATCAAACATGGAGATAACACCCACCCCCTGATGTGTCAGCATTGCCCACTCACCTGTCTCAACCCCAGCGTTTTCGTGTCCCACATCTGCTTTATGTTCCAGAAAAAGGGCTGCTCACATTTTTGACAGGAATCACTTTCCAACCACTGAGGAGCCTGGGGAGCAGAAAGTCACAGTCAAGGTCAACACATCTGTACGTTTGCATTGCTGTTTCAGAAATTAATGCAGGAGTAACAGAATTTGCTGGTGCCAGTATTTCTTTTTCAGTTCCACAATATGTTGGAGCTGGTTGCCACAGTCAATACTGTGCTTACATTCTGAGTCACCACCATGATTTCAGCAATGTTACAGGACTGCATTTCCCCCTCAGCTTCTCATTATGACACTACTGGCCTGTTTTGATCTTCACATTCTAAAAACTATTTCTTGGTTCATAACAGATTTAAGCCTGTCCTAAGAAGAACCAAAGTAGGTAGAATTGGAGGCAAGAATACAGTTACAGGAAAAACTGTTAGTCCTATAGGAAAGGGAAAGAAACTTAAAACAACAGACACAAATTTTATTACCATACAACACACAATGACTGTGGTCAGAAAGGTAAAACTGCATCATCAAGAAATGAGGAAAATATATCAAATTTGTACATTTTCATCAAAAACAGAATCTCCATAATGGGTTGGCATTTGAAGAATCATGTTTCAATGACCCAGAACACTCCTTTAACATTAAAGGTCCCTTTCTCCAGCAGTGTCAGTTAAGCAACACATTCATGGATTTTCTAACATCTTACCAAGTTTCTAAGTGACTTAATTTTAAGCAAGGGCATTTTTTAAATATATAAATAAGACACCTTTTAAATTCTCAATTCCTTTGTAATAGTCCTAGCAGGTGGTTATAATAGCTCAGACTCAGGCTCAGATTTCTTGCACTAAAATCCTGACTCTGTCATTTCCTAGCTCTGTCCTCAGGGGTATTATGTATCTTCTTTGTGCCTCAGTTTCCTCATCAGTAACATCAGAAAACAGTAGTATGTACCTCACAAGGCTGTGAGGGTTAAATGAGGTCATATTTGTTAAGTGTTCTGAATAGTGCCTAGTATGCAGTAAATGCCACCTAAGTCCAGGCAGCAGGCAAGTTTTTTTATATGCTTTATGTCACTGAATTTTCATCACATGCCTAGGAAATACAGAGCAACATTATTCCCATTTTATTGACAAAGAAACTGGCTCTGAGACTGAAGCAGCTGTCCATGGCCTAGGAGACCCAGGAGACCTGCCTGGGTCACTCTGCTTGTCCACCAAGCTCTTTGCTCTACCACATGGGGTCTCCAAACATGGTTCTGGGATATGTCAAACAATAGAACTGAGGTCTTGCTTCAGGGAGCATAATTCCTTCATACTCAAAATTTGCTGTTAAACTATAAGCTATTGTGAGCAATTCTGCTGTTTATTATCCAAGGAGAAACAAGCTTTGTTTTGTGTGAAGAAGAGCAAGAGAGAATATTAATCAAGCATTATGACTGCTTCACTCTCTTTCCATATCTTGTTCCATCTGCCTAATCTAAATCCATTTTACTACTACCACTAACTTCTGCATTCGTTAATACTGCATTTAATGTATGAAACATTATACTAGTTGATCTACAAGTTTGAAAATGTTCTCTTTTCAAGGGGATTCACTGCCTATAAATACTGTTCCTTGTTCACTGAGAGTTTGTACATGCTTCCAAAAAGGAACCCCTCTAATTATAACCTAGCAGGTAGGCAAATTTGCTTCAGGCCTGATGGTGCAGGGGTGGCTGGCAGCTATGATGAACTGGAAATGCTCCAGGCAGTTGTCACAGGTGACTTGGAAAGAAATTCCAGGCAAGCATGGTAGAGCTGGAGAATGTGGGCTCAAGCCTCTGTGTGCTTAGCTAAGGAAATTCTATAAAATTATACGAAGTCCTAACCAGGGTAACCTCAGAAATCACAGGCTATTTACCTTTCTACTACATTTATTTGGCCAGGGACAAAGACTGCTAAAAATAATGCATCTTTTTGACAGTTTGCTTTCCTACCTCTTCCATAGATGACTATAAGGAAGTAAACTGCCCACACAGGAAGCACCTTGACTGGTGGAATTATTTTTCAGTTCCGGAGATGTGCAAATACAGTCAGTCCACAATTATGTAAGCTTGAATAAAGGGTCTGCTTCTATTTTCTAAATGTTTTTTTTTTTTTTCTAAAAGTAGTTCCTGAGGATCAGAACAGTGGAAGAAATCCAATGGTGAGCCCTTAGAGAGCCACTAGGAGCACTAGTTCCATGGTCTTCTCTTAATACCTGTCTCTGAGCTTTCTGTTCTCTAAAAATAAGATTAAGAAATGATGGGGAGAATCACAGCCTTTGGGACAGCAGTCCCCTGTGTTTCTCCTTTGCCAAGAAAGCAATAAACCTTCTTTTTCCTTTTTCTCAAAAAGCGTGTCCTTATTATTGGATTGGCATCGAGGACAAGGATGAAATGTCTTACAAGGTTACTAAGAAACCAAAGAATAACGATGTCTCTGTATTATGGAGTGTATTCTATTATTTATAGGGAGACTATTTCTTTCATTAGATTACAAGCCTCTTGTGGGGAAGAATCTTTGTGTACAGAACTTAGTAGCCATAAAGTAGAGAAATGAGTCATGCTACTTTAAAAAAATAAAAAAACAGATTGAACCCCCTTGATTATTTCTTCTGGGACACGCTAAAAATGGTTTATTCAGTGAGAACTAGACTCACAAATACCTGCAGCAACAGAGCAGGCAGAGGTGCAGGGGTTGGTGAGAACTCTGCATTAGGCGTGGTGTCCTCTTTGAGTGTGCGCCGTATACTGCACTCTAAACTGATCAAGGGCAACCCTGGAGTGTGGATCTTCACCTAAGCTCCCAGACAGTATGGCTACCCTGTAGCAGCTTGATAAATGCTTCTGAAGTTAAACTATAATCATTAGCCTCACTTAGACTTTAAGATCTTCTCTGGAATCAGCTCTTTGGCAATTGTCATCATAGGCTCTAATGCCACAGAAAAAAGACAGATAGTCCCAGTCCTGGCAGAGATGAGAATGGAAATCCTGCCTGGAAACCATCTGATGAAATCTATAAAAAGCCTTTAGAGCGTACCTACTCTCGCAACAGAAGGTCTATTTTCGGAAACTTGCTTGAAATAAATTATTGAATAATCACATAATGACAAGGTCAAGCATATTCACTGCAGGCATAACTCAAAAAAAAAAAGACAGATTGTGTAGACCTTTAGAGTATCTATTTAAGAAAATGGAAGAAGACTTAGAAATCAACTCATTCAATGATTTCACTTTTTGGGAACAGGAATAGACACTCAAAGAAAAGAAATTAAGGTCTCAACTAGTTAGTGGCTCAACCAAGTTAAAAATCATGTTGCCCGAAAAGAACATTATGTCAATATGGACTCAGTGGAGTGGAGCTCAATGGAAAATAAGAGAAATAAGCAGAGAAACAGAAACATTTTCCCAGAAAGACAACAAGTACATAGCTACTCACTGACGATGGTCTCTGACACACCTCAGGGCTTCTGTACAGGAATGCTTCAAAGCCCTAGGGTGCTTTGGAGGGTCCCCATGTAGCCCACATCGCTGGATGTGCTGAAAGGCTGGCTGTCTCAAATCCTCCCAGTGGATTTATTTCTCAAGGCTAACATTAGCCTAAATGCTATGTGACTGTACACACTACTCGTCATTAGTGGAAACCCCCACATGGAGAGAAGATGCAGTGCAAATGACAAGCAGGACCCTCAAACAAAAATCCATGGGTGGAACAGGGGGCAGCCAGCATTTACACTGCAGGGAGAAAACCAAGAAGCAGGGTCCTCAGGGATCTCCGTCAGCATTGCTTCCCCTTTGCCTGTTATTACCTCTTCTCTGCTAACGTCCATGTTCCACACTGCAATCCCACCATCCGAGGAACAGGAGACAAGCTGCCTGGTTAGTTGCAGGTAACACAGCGACTGCACCCTGTCACTGCAAATACACATGACAGATCACATGTCTCAACATGGAAAACACAGAAATTTCTTCATTTAAGCTCAAATTTCTCCCCTAAGTTAGGAAGCAGCATTTTGTCGCTACTGGTATATCATGGGTTGCACCATAAATTTCACTTGGCATTCTAGTACTGATTACATGGAATCACAGTTTTCTACAGAATAAACTCCACTGCTTTCAAATCTGTTGTTTACAACTAAAAGTCAGAGATGGGATAAAGACCATGATTTTCTGCACCAATTGTCATGACTTCTCCTTCTGGTACACAAAACTTAACAAAGAACAGAGGTGTATCTGTCCTATTGAAATACAGTTCATGTGAATAAGAGATCACTAGTAGCATACACACACACACACACACACACACACACACTCACACACACACTCACACAAAAAGGCACATGCATGCACAGATGGGTAGAAAAAATCTGGTCCCTTCTAGCAGTCCTATCAAACCACTTCTCTGGATGCCCAGGCAATCAATCTCCTGTTCTGTTAACTTTTGTACCCAATCTTTCCTTGGCTAAATTGCAACTTGATTATGACTACAGTAAACAACTATCACCTGACCAGCAATGAGAAACAAAAGGAAAAGTGGGTAAGAAGGGTGCTCCTTTTCCTTTCAAGACTAAACTGTAGGACAGCATTACAATGTCGAGCTCAGGTGAGTCTGACTATATCAGCAAGCATTGATTCTTAATGAAATATATTTTAGAAATTAAGGAAAAAAAAACAGGCACCCACTTCAAAAATAGCTTAGTACTACATCTCATGAGATGGTCAAGTCCTCATTTCCAGTCTCTAACCCATGCCTGCCCTAGGCAGACATTTCAACAGGGCCACTCCTTGGGAGAGAAGAGTGGCAAGTGCTCTTTAACTAAGAAGGAAATAAATCCTATACTCTTTTTACATTTTACTGTTTAATACCTGATGTTCCAATTGACACGCAGTTAAAAGTGGACTCAGCCCTATGAACTTGCTGTTTGGAGAAAGTCTGGATATAATGATAATGCTCCCCCAGTTCCCCATACACTCAGCCCCTTTCCCCACCCCCACAACCAGTCACGCACTGATGGCCCTGCAGCAAGAGCGTCCGGCCTTTCCTGCCTCCAATGTCCCACATGATGATGCTGTTGTCAGATGCTCCTGAGAACAGTAACCGCTGAATAGGATCCCACCAGAGGCAAGCAACACTCCCTAGGGATTTAAGAGAGAGAGGAGGGGTTAAACATAACTCTACATCAGGATGTGCACATTTGACAGCTAGAGATGAAAGCCTCTAAGCAAAAATCTATCTTCACCATACAAAGGGTCATTCAATCACGTTCTCATGAGTCACAGCAAGGACACAGCAGATCCATTATTCAAAGTTGTAAGATTAGCATTTTCAATTATGCATCACACAGCTATACACCTTTTTTTTTGGCAGTACTGGAGATGGAACCCAAGGCCTTGCACCTGCTAAGCAAGTGACCAATCACTGAGCCACATCCCAGTCCAAAAATTTTTCAAGAAGTTTTTCTTTGTTCTATACCAATAAATTATAAAGTATCTATACATAAAATGTTAGTATAAAAGAAGCTTTGGGAGAAAAATAAATCTAATATTTATGAAAAAGACTAGTAGGGCTTATAGTGGCCATTTTCTAGAAGATAAAAATGTAGGTTATTTCAGCTCTCTGGGACCTCAGAGGCATTTTACCCTAAGATGTTTATGTTTTAAAAAAATCAAATTAAGCGCCTTAGGGGAAAAGTCTCCAGGTGTGCCAAACTATGATGTCAAGGAAATCAGGTAAAACATCTAAATCTTATACTTCACATCCTGAATTGACCACCTGATCAAATTTGATAGCACTACAAATTTCTCTTTCAAGGAATCTCTTCATTTTTGATTTGTTGCTGCTTGCCTTAAAAAAATTAATCAATAGTAAAATTGAAACAATTACACAAACTGATAATAAATTTTATAGATGTACAGAAAACTAATGAAGCCATATTTACAAACAAACAGAAACTAGTTTCTCCCCTAAACTTTTCCAAAACAAAAGTAAAGAAAAAAAGGGAACTCTGCAAAACTATCTTCAGGTCAGTTGTAACAGAATTCTGACACTCTCTACTCCTATGCCTCATATACTGGCTAGAGGCCAAAGCGGAGATACACAGTATGAAAACTGTAAGTTGTTACAGAATACATTCTGCCTCTTAGAAGCCTGAAGGTCACAACAGGATTAATCATAAATGGAACATGGTTTCTTCAGGGACCTATGCTTTTCTGCCCAGATCTTTTAAAACCTGCTGTTCTCTTTGCTTCCTTTCCCCCCATGAAGTCCTGGTTCTGATAGAGTCTATCTTTCCGACATGAGTTAGCTAGAAAGCAAAGGATATGATTAGCTTGTTACACTTAAAACACTGTTGTTATAAATAAAACCATCATTAATTATTTCATCAAATCTCCAATTCTTCAATTTAACCTCAAAGAAGGCCTCAAAGTTCTTAACTCTGAGACTCATATCACTCCTTGCATTATAGCTTAGCATTCAATGAAAACAATTTATTATACACATGCACATGGCAATTTACCCACTGCAGTCAAACAGTTTTAAAACCCTCCACAGAACCTTGTCAACTTACTGTTCTATAGAAATAAGGAAAATTTACCCAGGAATTTATCTCTCCCAGTCCCTACCCAGGGTATGTGGCCAAGCCAGCCCAAACATTTCTTCTAATTGTATTAATCTAACAGTTCTTGCTGAATGTCTTAGAAACTAAGAAATTAAATAAATAATAATAATAATAATAATAATAATAACAACAACAATTCTTACATATAAATAGTTCTTAATATTTATTATAAAATTTGAAGATCTAATGAAAACAAGTTAATTTAAAAAGATAAACAATGCAAGGTATTATCCATTCAAGCAATTCAAAGGGTTCTTTGGAAATAAGAAACTGATCCTGACACCCTACCTTCCCTTAGTCTTCGGCCTAAATCCCACTGAATTGAAATCTGACAGATCATGAGGAATTGACCATGCATGAATCACAAAGCTGAGAACTGAATTCCAATAGCCATATTAGGTGAAAGACCTTTGGGGGCCAGGCAGCCTACCTTCATGCCCTTTGAGGGTTGTGATAACTGAACACGTGTTCTGTTCAAGCTTCAGCAGGGTGATCTGTCCAGAGTAATCGCCAACAAAAGCGTACTGAGTATCAAAATCATATCTGAAGAGATGCAGTCAAGGACATGTAACAGAACCTGTCTCAAAATCCTCCCATAAAAGAAACATCAGCTTTAGTCAGAATTTTAAAACAACTTTGCATTTTAAAGAGATTAAGTACAAACCAAAAACTATAACAAGAAAGGAAATACTCAAGCAAAAAATCACACAATATCTAAATACTGAAAGAAAAATTTAAAACAGCTAGAATTAAGAGGAGAGTTAATATTCAAACAGCCAACAAGAATTTATTGAGTTCCTATTAATCTATCAAGTAATATCCTAAGAACTGGCAACAAAAAAGATAAAACACCCTCACTAGAGCAGAATGGCTCTTATGCAATATTTCTGAAAGTAACGTCAAACTGAGTAAACACAGGACAAGAGCTTATCTTTCTTTTGGCTTAGATGATTTAGCTTTAAATGAAGAGGATGATTTCCTTTAAACTACTGTGAACAGTTACTTATGATAATAGTAAATTTCAATTTAAAATGTATTCACTACTGGAAACAATTCATTACTTTCTCAGTTTGTGGCCACAGATGATTTGTGGATATACACAATAAAATATCTGCTATTTACAATAGGATAACTACTACTACTCCAAAATACCAGGTCAAAAGGAGCACCACAAGCCAAGCCATGATTGTGATTGTGTGCCATTAAGAGAGGCCTTGAACATGACAGAAATTCTAAGTTTGAACATAATATATCTGAATAATTTTACCTTGTTTGATCCTAAAGTGGATGGTAGTATTTTAAATGCTTATTTTAAATATCCCATGCTGTGCATTCATTTGTAGCAAAAATTTTTAATAAAAGCTTTCAATGGAAAGAGAGAACTTTATTATGCCACTTATCTCTGAAAGAGAATCTACCAAGGGTATTTGCCTACTGTTGATAGTCTTGGTCTTGCCAGCATTTGGATACCAGCAACCAGAAGTGGCCTTAAGAAGGGCAAGTTCTACAGGAAACAAATTCCACAGAGTGGAATTCTTTTTTTTTTTTTTTCTTTTGGTACTGGGGAATGAACCCAGGGGCACTCAACCACTGAGCTATATCCCCAGTCCTTTTCTGAATTTTTATTTAGAGACAGGGTCTCACAGAGTTGCTTAAGGCCTCACTAAATTGCTGAGGCTGGCTTTGAACTCACAATCCTCCTGCCTCTGCCTCCAGAGCTGCTGGTATTACAGGCATGTGCCACCACACCAGGCCCACACTGGGAAATTTTTAAGGCAGTAATTGTTAATATTTTGGTCATTCTGAGAGTGTCATAAAGATTTGGGTCCTCTCCAGACACACACACAAAAAGTATTAGACACAAGTTTTGTATAAAACTCCTTGTAACCTGTTTTTGAACCTCAGGGATATGTACACATCTCTATTATCTACTATACTTCCTAGTAAAGTCTGCAAATAACTAATTACTACAAGATTAATTTTTTTTTCTTCTTCATAGAATAAAAAGTCTTTCAATTTGTATTGCAAAGGAATGAAGGGAGGAGCTTATATTAATGAGGGCTTAGGGGTTCTATAATTTTGTACTAAAAACATTAGCACTTCCCAGTAGAGAACAGAAAATTCATTTAACTATTATATTAATAAACCCATTTTATATCAAAGAAAAGCAGATACAGAAATTCTTGGGTTTTAGATAAAATGTGTAAGAATCATTCAGTCTTTGGATCTCAATTGACAATGATGATCAGATTCAAAACTAAATCCTGAGACGAAGTCCTAGGAGGGAGAGATCCAGCGCTGTGGAGGATACTGTAAACACGAAGCCCAGGAAGTGAAGAAGTGTCGCCCCAGCATGTTCCCACTCCGGGTGCACATCCAGCTGACACACTTGTCGTGGCCAGTGCTGATGACCCACTCGGCGGCCAAGCTGAAGATGATGGCAGACACCCGGTTCTGATGAGCTGCAGGAACACAAAGGGAGTCTGTGTCCTTCAGGAAGGTGGGACCTTCAGAAGCAGCTCCCCATGGGGTAAGAACTGAGGCTTTCCTTCTCTCCCTGGTGGGCCAGCATGCTCCTGTGTGTGTCTAAACAGCCACCGGGGAGCTGCCTACCCCCTGAGCAGACTTCAGACAAGCCCCTCCACTGCAGTGTACCAGCACCGCTCCTTCCAAGGCCCCGTCCTCTGCAGCCCCATATGAAAGGATATCAAAAGCCAGGAATTACTGAAGACAGGAGGGATTTGAATAATAAAGTTTTTCTTTTTCTTTCTTTCTTTTTGTTTTCTTTTTTTTGCTATGATCAAAAGAACATTTTTACTTTGTTCTAAAAAGTCTTAAATATCAGTGAGTTCCATATGGAAAACAGCAGTCTTAACACAGCAATGTTTTTCGTTTATTTGCTTGTTTTTATTGTTCATTACTTCAATGTTTTGACCCTTTAGAAAACACTGGCACTGTAAATAAGAGCAGCTACAATTTTCTGAAATTAAATGTGTTGGAACACCTGTAATCCTAGCAGCTCAGGAGGCTCAGGTAGGAGGGCAAGTTCAAAGCCAGCCTCAGCAAGTTAGTAAGACTCTAAGCAACTCTGTGAAACCCTGTCTCAAAATAGAAAATTAAAAAAAGGACGGGGATGTAGCTCAGTGGTTAAGCACCCTCCTCCCCCCAGTTCAATTCCTGGCACCAAAAAAATAAATAAATAGATAACATTTTATTTCTGAAATAATTTCTTTGTGTATGACTTTTTACGTTTTATAAATACCAAGTATTTGTAAAGATCTTTATTCTAAAATAATAGTTGAGGATGAGAAAAATATTCTGTTATGTAACTTTAAAAATATTTTCAGTTCAATTATAAAGCATACTAGGGCAGTGACCTGAGTTCTACTTCATGAGGTACAGGAGCCACATGAGCAGGTGTTTTATAAACGTCCAGTCTGATGAAAGAAGTCAGAGGGTAGCCAGAGGAGCCACTTTGCTCTCAGCTGTACAGACTGCTCTCGAAGAACTGAGGGACTTTCTCCAAAAGTCCGTGAGAAGGTCAGGTCCAAGGAGATTATGCTGAGCCATTAAATACTCACGAGGGCCCCTGAAACTTACAGGAGTACTCCCATAGTAATAATCTTAAATTCAACTAAACCAAGCCCCAGCTAATGAATGACTCAGGAACTGATGTGTTTTTAATTTTTTTTCTGTTTTAATGAAATCCCCAATTTCCCTAAACCTAATATTTTATGCCCATTTTCAGATCGAAACACTGAGAAGCAAACATGAAGCTCATTAAATACATGCCCAGTCTTATAAGTAATGGATTAACTTGCTTAGTTGACCCAAAACACATTTTCCACTTAATCTACAGTTGTCTAACTCAGGACAATAGTGGCAAGGTTTATATTTGCTTATTGCAAAGGTATTGGAGTGAATAATCATTTATCTTTTCTCAGAAAGGACTGTCCTATTTCTGAATTATATACTTTCTGCTATTTTATTTTTTAGATGCCCTTTCTTTTATGAATGATAAAATTATATGGAAATGCTTATTTTGCCTCATTTTAAAACTCCCTCACTTAACCAAAAAAAAAAAAAAAAAAAGAATCTCTGATTAGTCCTCCTTGTATTTTTTAAAATGTTATTAGTCAATGAAATGTGAAGGTCCTAAAGCAGTACAAAACTATGCAGCTTTATAACTCATAAAGAACTTTGAAAAACAAGATATAGATAAAATGAGATCAGTAAATAAATAATTGGATAAAGAACTTAATGGCAAATTAAATAATTTAAAAAGGAATTTGCTTTAGAGCAACAACATTGATCAGGTACAAAATACGTGGCCTCCAAACGTCTAGGCATATATTTCCTAAAAAGAATTATAGATTCTTGATTTTTCTAAAGATAAATCTACCAGTGACAGCTAAAAATTCAAAGTTGTTTCTGTCACTGTAACAAAACTACAATGCTGTGCATTATTCAACATCGAAAGACTGTCCTTCATTGTCACAAAAGGCTCCACGCTGAAATGGCAAGTTCAAGAGTGCGGTCATTATTGCCTCAATTTTCTGCTATCTTAAACTTGGAACAGATGGACCAATACTCAAGAAAAAGCAATTTGGCCTTCTTAGTTAAGTTCAAAAATTTCCTTCCTGTACCCTGCTATTAAATCAAAATTCACCAAGATAGAACATATACCTAAAACATCCAGACTCCAATTTCACCTTGATCCATTAGTATGAAATTTAAAATTTGGGTTGTTATGCCTCCAGGCAAAGTCTCCAGGAACCTTTACTTGGACTGATAGTGCTATGGTTTAGATATGAGTTGTTCCCCAAAAGCTTGTGTATGAGACAATGCAAGACAGTTAAGAGGTGCAATGATTGGTATATGAGAGTTTTAACCTAATTAGGGCATTAATCTGCTGATGGGGATTAACTAGGTGGTTAACTGTAGGCAGGTGGGGTGTGTCTGGGGGAGGGGGGGTCAGTAGAGCATGCCGTTGGGGTATATATTTTGTCTTTGGTGAGAGGAGAAGTTTCTCTCTGTTTCCTGGTTCCGGGTCCTTGGTTGCTTTCCTCTACCACACTCTTCGGTCATGATGTTATGTCACACTTTAGCCCCAGAGCAAGGGAGTCAGCTATCTATGAACTAAGACCTCTGAAACTGTGAGCCCCAAATAAAGTTTTCCTCCTTTAAAACTGTTCTTGACTGGTTTTTTTGGTCACAGCAACAAAAGAGCTGACTAAAACAGATAGGAATCCACAACTTCATCAAATTGTTTTGGCTTTGCAAATTCCATCCAAAGTTGAGAACACTGAGAACTTGCTTTTGATAAATGTAATAATGTCTAAATGTATAAGACTGAGAAAAACTGAGGAAAATGTATATGCCACATATTTTTTTAAAGTAAAGGTGCTTATAATTCAATTATAAAATAGTACAACTCCCTGGAAATATGAGCACAATCATGTTAAGACATTCCTGAAAGATGACATAGTCAAAACAAAATAAAGCTTAAATAATTTTCAAATTAAGAAACTTTGACTATCAAATGCAAAAAATGCTGGACACACTTAATGAGCAGACAGTCTCAGTCACTATTTATAAGAGTGTAAAAATTGACACAATTGCTGGGAAGCAGTTTGCAAAACAGACCAAAACCATTACAAGACTTTTTAACGTTTGATCCTGTTATTCCACTTAAATAGACGTAGTCTGATCAGAATCAATCTCTCTCTCTCTCTCTCTCTCTCTCTCTCTCTCACACACACACACACACACACACACACACACACACACACAGAGTATATAGTATGTGTTATCAAAACATGAAAACAGTGCACATGTCCTTTTAGAGAAGATGGTTAAATTAAATCTCATACACATGCCCAATATATAAAATTTTACATATTAATAAGCAGAAAAGAATGGTAAATAACTGTGTCTCTCACATAATTGGAGGAAAAAAACTGAAAAGTTCATGTAAAAACCTAACTTTGATCATAAGAGGTGACTGCCAGTTTTGTGTGTGTATAATATAATTACCTGGGTAGGTCTTGATAAAGTTCATTTTATTAAAATCTTCAGAAACATGAAATTCCTAAAAGTAAACATATGGAATAAGAAAACAGTTATGTTTTAAAAACAATAGGAACTTAACTTTCAAAACAAAGTAAAGTCTACTACCAGTTGTCATAAGACCTGGGACTTAAGATGAGCAATTTAGGGATGATAGGAACTGTTCCTTGGCCCACTGCCTCTCCAGGGCCTGAATGAAATGAATAAATCAAGGGCTGCCGACAGACCTCGCACTTGTATCCACTTGCTCCTCCACAGATGAGTGCCATACATAACTTCTCCCTCTAACTGCAAAATTTTCTTAATTTGCTCTCTTGGCTATACCAAAACAAAACAAAACAAAACAAAAAAATCCCTTAGGACAATGTATAGGGAGCAAAACTACAAAACTCAGAGTTCATAATTACAGGTAAAATAAGGAAGGCACTGGGGATTCCAGCAGTTTAATGTACAAACATATCCCCCCAAAAGTAAAAGTTACAGATTGTGGATGATCTTCTTTTTATACTCCTGCATTTTCCAGATTTCCTATGAACTATATAACTTGGAAAAACTAAAAAATACATAACTTTTTAAATGAAAAAATAAGCTTCAACATAAAATTGAGATAATACAAAACTCTAAAGAGAATCACTAATTAAGAAATCTATTGATCGAGGCTAAATTGTAAGTTATTAAAGGTTTAGGTAACATGGACATTATGCATTGTTGACTGAACAGGGCATGATAAAAAACCACCCAAGTCATAAAGACTTCCTGGTCTCCACCTTACTTTGCAAAGTACAAAGATGGATCAGCATTGTAGGTATTAATTGATATTGGATGGAAAACCAACAGATCAATTGCTAACTAAAGCTAAGTTGGGTTTAAATCATCCTTTCCACTGAAGAGCCTTGGAATCTCAGGTGCTGTCCTGTAAATGCAGAGTCGACTCTCCAATCAAAAGCCTCCAGAAGAGTTTCTGGAGAAAGAAATGCGTGGCCACTGCCACCTCTGGAAAAACCACGTGAAAGCTTGCACTTAACAGCCTCTTGTGTTACGTGTGTATGCACGTCACCATGATATGCCTATAAAATGTCCAGCAGTTCTCTGCATCCACGACCACATCACGTGCTTATGGGAGCCCCTGCCACCTGCCTGCTGCAGGGTGAAATTCTTTGGAGGGAGCCCGACCTTCCTCCTGCCTCTTTCTTCTTTGCCCTTAAGTGCAATCAACGCTTCTTTTATACTTTAAAAAACAAAATGAACACAACCAACAATGAAACTCCTTTAACTATACCATACTTGTCCCAACCTTCTCAGCCAAATGCTTTTCTAAAGACCATCCAGGATGGATCGGGCTTTCCCTCCTGGTCACTCCTCACTCCACTCTTCTCCAACATGGAAACGCCTCTCCCTGCTATCGCCAGCTGCCTTCTGGTTTATGTCCTGATCTCAGCCTTTCTCTGCTGCCCTTGCTACTAACCTCAAATGACTGCCTATCCCTTCCACCCGGCTTCCCTGGCCGGATTGTTCTGGGCCCTTTGTCCACTTTGCCTGTTTCTGCCCCGGTCTTTCTTAAGGGCTTTTTAGTCCTCTGACTTTCCCTTAAAGCACTCCAGGATGAGACCCTCTGCTATTCGTCATGCTCCTGCTATCCCTAGTTTATGTCAGTTACTTGTGGCACACTGGGCCAACAGACATCAAAACCCAGAGCATTATCATGCCCCTGCTTAATGGCTCCCTGGCTCCCCCGGGTGCTGTATTTCCCCAGCGCGTTCAGTCCTCGGACTCACCTAGGGCACTTGCTAAAACACAGATGTCCAGGCCCCTCGTAATTGATTCTGAAGCTATGGATCTAGCATAGAGCCAGGGAACAGGTATTTTTAAAGTTTCCTAAATGATTTGTGATGACTATGCAAGTTTGAAATGCTTGGTCTGTATGATGTAGTCTAAGCTCCTTAATACCATACTCAAGGACCACCATTTCTCCTCATCCCTGGGCTCCAGGTTTGTATATCCAGTGCCAACTCTGCACTGCCATTTGGAAGAGACAACACAGGTATCTCAAACACATGGGTGATTCCTCACTCTTCCTTCTGTCTCCAACTATCCCACCCCTTCAAGCCATTCCCTTCACAGTAAATGATGCCACTGCTCAAACTAAAATTCTGATGTCACCTGACTTCTTCCTGTTCCTCCCCCAAAACCCAACTTATTACAGATGCATTTAGGATGTACCTCAAATCCATCTGCTCTGTCTGCCTTCACCACCACCATCCTCTCTCTCAGACTGCTGCATCAGACTGACTCCCTCTTCTATTTTGTTGACCTTCAATCTACTCTTGCCCAATAATTACAGGGACCTTTTAAAAATGTAATTACATCTTATCATTCATCTGCTGAAAATCCTTTAATGGCTTCTCACTGAATTTATAAAGAAATTTAAAACTATCCAGATATATAAAGCTCTGCATGAGCTGGCCTCTGCCTACTTCTTCAATGGCGTCTGGGGTCCCTCCCTGTACCAGCACCCCCCAGCCATGGTAAACTACACAAATCTCCAGGCACACAAAGATCCCTTCTACCTCAAGTCTTCACAAACCATTCACTTCTGGAAACTCTTCCCTGGTTCTCCACAGGCTTGCTGTGTGACAAGGATGTCAAGACAATTCAATGGGAAAAGAACAGTCTTTTCAACAAATGGCGTTGGAATAATTGGATAATCACAAGCAAAAGAACGGATATGGAATTCTTCTGTTAAGGTTTAGATATAAAGGGTTCCCCAAAAGCTCATGTGTGAAACAATGCCAAGAGGGTTTAGAGGAGAAATGATTGGGTTATAAAGCCTTAACCTCATCAATGCATTAATCTGCTTATGTGGATTAACTGGGTGATAACTGTAGGCAGGCAGGGTGTGGCTACAGGAGGCTGGTCACTGGTAGTGTGCCTTTAGGGCATATATATTATCCCTGGTGAGCAGAGCTTATTCTCTCTGCTTCCTGGTGCCATGTCCTGAGCTACTTTCCTCCTCTACACCCTCTATCAGGATGTTCTGCCTCATCTCGGCCCCAGAGCAGTGAAGTCGATCATCTATGGACATCTGAAACTGTGAAACCCAAATAAACTTTTATTTCTCTAAAACTGTTCTTGTCAGGTCTTTTGGTCACAGAGGTTAAAAAAAAAAAAAAAGTTGCCTAAAACACTTTCCTTACACCATATGTTAAAAAGTTAACTCACAATAAAGTAAAGATCTAAATGGAGAAACTACACTATGAAACTTTTAGGAGAAAACATAAGACTACAACATTATTCCTATGAAAATATAATGTAAATAACCTTGTATCAGGTAATGATTTCTTAGGTATTGTATCTAAAACACACAACCAATAAAGGAGAAAATAGAAAAATTGAACTTCATCAAACTTAAAAATTGAAGGAAATTCTCACTATGGACAAAAATATTTGCAAATCATGTATCTAATAAGAATTTAGTATCTATCTAGTACATGGGAAGAATTCTTACAATTCAATAATTATTTTTTTTAAATGGGCAAAGGGTTTAAATAGATACTGCTCCAAAGAAGATACACAATGACCAACAGACATGTGAGAAGATGCTCAACATCACTAGTCAGTAGGGAAATACAAATCAAAACTACAATGACATGCCAATCTGCACCCAATACAATGACCATAATAAAAACAAAATAAAGCAAAACAAAACAAAAACAGAAAATAATAAGTATTCACAATGATGTAAAGAAACTGGAATCCTCATGTTTTGCTGGTGGGATGTAAAATGGTGCAGTCACTTTGGAGGAAACTTTGGTGGCTTCTTGAATGTTAAATATAGTTCCCAGCAATTCCATTCTCATATCTACCCAAAAAAGCTGAAAAAAAATGTGTTCATATAGAAATTTATAAACTATGTTTACAGCAGCATTATTCATATTAGCCAAAAAGTGGAAAATAACCCAAATTTCCAGTAACTAGTGAATAGATAAGCAAAACTATCTATGTAATAGAATACTGTTCCAGCACACAAAAAGGAATGAGGTAATGAATTCAAGCTCCAACATGGATGAACTTTGAAAATACCAAGTGAAGAAGACAGGCATAAAAGGTCACACATAACTCTATTTACACAAAATACCTAGAACAGACAAATCCCTGTACTCAGAGAGTAGGTTATTGATTGCCAGGAGCTGAAGAAAAGGGAAATGATTGCTAATGAATATGGGGTTTCTTTGGGGGATATAAATAATCTATAATCAGAGTGTAATGGGTGCAGAGTCTCATGAATATACTATAAAAGCATTGAACTATGCATTTTAAAGTGGTGCAATTATGGTATATGACTTATCTTTAAATTATAGAAAAAATAAACACACACAATTTGACCCATAAAAAACACCAGTCTATATAGACTGAAAATTTACATATCTGGTCCTTCAACAGGGGTAGCTTGGAAATCACTGCCTTACAGAGTTGAGTTGCTGGAGGAATAGCTGATAGTTGGACTTGTTCCCCATCCCTTCTGTCACAGACACATGGAGACACGTAGGCTATCCACCATCATGGCCAAAAGATGGGAGATGCTACAGATCTCAAGTTCACTGTATGAATACAATGCATGTTTATGGGCATCCTGAGCACCAAACCATCAATTATGACAGCCATCTGAGCTTTGTAGAAATAGCTTAAAATTAAACATCAATTAAAATTAATGTTTTTAGACTTCACATCCATGGAAACTGATGGAAATACTTTTGTACCAAATAATCAGACATTCACTGTTGACTTTACTTAAACTATCCCACATAAGTAAATACAGATAATCAATATAAAGAATGTAATGAATACTTCCTGGAAGTTACGTACCATTACAGCTCCGTTATCCTGGCCCACGAATATCCGTCTGCTATCGTGATGGTAAGCCATAGCAGAGCAAGGGGCTGCCAGAAAGACAAACACCACATTATCAGCAAAGCTAAGCCTTTTGAGTCATTGCTCAAAGTACATTATTATTAAGAAGAGCCATATGATTTAGGTTTTTAGAAAAAGAGCAAAATGTTTTATGAAAAATAATCATATAAGTTGAAAACATAAAGTTCTCTTTGTTGCTTCAGTTTTAAATTCTAATTCTGTAAATCTTCTCAATTATTCTCAYAATATTGGGCAAAGTGAGCCAGCACAAAGTTTCATCTGATGGAAACTCCTATTTATAGCCTGGGAAAAGTCTGGCAACCAGTGCTTACAGTGCATGATCTAATACATAAACGCTTCATCCCATTACCCTTCCCAAAAAAAGGTAAAAAGTTGCTGGAATCTGCAGAAAAGGGGGTTGCCAGCCCTAGAATTCTCATCCCAGAGCATATGTGAGCATGCTAGGAAAGCCATTCCAGGATAATTATTTTCTCAATGGCCAAAATGTTCCCTTTTGCAATGACACACATGACCTGGTTTGCAGGAACTGTAGTTGTGAGGTATAGATAGGTTCTTTGGCCCCAGCAGTTACCCACCCGGGATAGCATCTGCCTATTTTTCTGTACACCTCCTTCCCAGTGGCTATCTCTCCTCTCCCAGAAATCATGGGCAAGAGAATGAGTTTCAGAAAGGAAAAGCTTCAAATAGTCTTATGTTAAAAATCAGAAGTGAAGTGATTTAGAAAATGGGAAATTTGGAAAAAGAAATGTTTGGGTTCATTTTTTTTCATTTCTTTGTTCAAAACAAAGAGAACTTTATGTTATCAACTTATATGATTATTTTTCATAAAACATTTTGCTCTTTTTTTAAAAAACCTAAATCATATAGCTCTTCTTAATCATTCTAGCCTAAAGAATTATAATCACAATGGAAGAACTAAAATATTAAAAAAACTGCATGCCAGGAACAAGACAAAACAAATGAACTTGACTTTATTTTGCAATAAGACTTCTCATAAAAAAAGTAAAAGAAAAAAAATCGTCCAAATGAAGTCAACCATCTGAAATAGTTTTAAGTTCTCTTGCTGCAATGACTGACAATCTACACCAAAGAAAGAAAGTAATCTATAATACTGGACTGTACCTAAAAGCAAAGACATAGCCCTCGACATGATCAGATCATAGAAGAGGCTGTTTTAGTTGCATTCAAGAACTATGTATGAATGGTAGAAGAACTATGTAGTTGAAAAGGTAGACAGAAAACATGACCAACTTGAAGCCCTCACACCCTAATCCACCATAATGATGCTGAAGATAACAAASAACAGTCATGTTTAAGAAGTATAACCATGAAGACACATGTGAATTCATATGATCAAAATGTTCTTCAATTACCATTTGCAAAAATCACTATGGCAAATCAAATCATGCTTTAATGATTTCAAAAGTTCATTATCATCGTTTTTACTTGCTCTTCTGTTGGTACTAGGTCTGGATGCATTAGTTTTAAGCTTCTTTTCAATGATTTTGATGCTCACTCCCACAACAAACTACATAAATATTGAAAAACGTTTCTTTTGTGTAAAACTTTAATGTGCTGAGTAATTTTATGAGATTAGAGAATTTTTGTTTAAAAAAGAAAATAAAAAGCTTCCCAGTTTATTTTTCATATAATGATATTCTGGCTTTTTTCCTAGAATGGAGTTTTCTACTGAGATAAGCAATAAATACTTTAAAAAGAAAGGAAAGGTTGGATATTCCTATAGTTTTGGAAACAAGAAAAACACAGGTCATCTTTCAAATCAGTGGACTTTAAAGAAGATATCATCGTAGTTCAAAATCAGATGCTTAAAACTCAGACATGAGCACCAGGTGGAGCCTGCTCTATGTTTTGTTAATTAGCTCTTTGGTGTTTTGGGAATAGAGCCAGGCTTTTTCATTTTTGTACTGGTTATGACTGCTTTCATGCTACAATGGCAGAGCTAAGTAGCTGTCACAGACTGCTGCACAGAATCTAAATATTTACTGTCTGGCTCTTTGCATTAAAAAATGTGTGGACCTACTCCATAACTGTGGTGGGCAGCATAGTCTGGGAGTAGTAAACTCACATGGATTGGAATTCCAACCACAAGTCATTGGTTTAATCTCTCTGTCCTGTTTCCTCATCTAGAAAATATAAAAAATAACATCTATCTTGCATAACTGTGTGATGATTTCATAAAATTACCTTACCAGAAAAAAAAGGCATGAGGCACATAGTAATACTGAAACTGGGAGTTACCATTTTTCCTTCAGCTATACCAGGTTCTGAAAGTGATTTGTGTTTGGTGAATGACATTATGGAACATAGTTGTACTAATGCAATGATGTATGAAGGCCTGGCTTACTGCAGGCTCCATTGGAGCACAGGCAAAAGTTTAAACTGGTGTACAACCACTAAAACATACTAAACTGCAATCAGCAGATAGTTCTTAGAACCCCAAACAGCAATGTTCTTGTATGATAAATGTAATTTTGAAATACGACAGCAGTTATTTCTCATAATTCATCCACTATGTTTTCTTCTGGTCGTGTTCTGGCAGTGTGGCCATCTCTCCTTCCCGAGCTGGAAACTACTTTGAGAAGGAACAGTCTCACCAAGTTAGGGAGGGACGGGACCAGAATGAGTCACAGCCATGTGCCCAAGATCTAACAGACAAGAGAGAGGAGAGAGCACACACTTCTACTGCTGGGGTTTTCTAGGAGAAAATAGCTGAGGAATTAAAATCTAAACACAGAATACAATCCATGTCAATCTCTGTCTCTATTTTAATGAGCAGGAACTTCAAGGGTGAAGACTCAAGGAGATTAAGCTTTGACCAAATATGAGCTATGGAGGGATGGGAGGAGTACAGCAGCAGCTCTAACAAGACTTTCCAAGTGATGATAAGATAAGCCCCGCACTGGAATGAGTTCTTCCAGCTGCTGCTCTCTCCAGCTATCGGGTCTATGGCTGGGCCTTCACTAAGAACCAAAGCCTCAAGGAAACCTGCAGCTACAGATGACTCTGAACAGCGGGTTTCAACCCACATTTGGCCTTGGGTGACATCCAGGCATTCTCTACAGGGCTTTGTTTTCAAGAAAGTCTGAAGAAAAGAAGTGGGAGAAAAGGATGTTGCTTAGATTTGCTGTGACTTTGTGTCACAACTCTGTCTTTACAATCATTCAATGGAAATGAAACAGACATTCTGGAAGACTGTATAAAGATTAACTATTGTCAAAGGATGACGAAACCTTACAATGCCTAACACACTGGAAGACTACTTGAAACCTGACCGTAATTCATCACGCCAGGCCACAGTACCTCCTCTCGGGCCTACGGGGCCTCTGAGTACATCACCTCGGCGTCTCACTCTGAATTCCAGGCGTTTTTAAAGTGTCCATGCACAGTTTTATCTTCTAGATGCATTTTTAGAACATACCTGACTACTGAGAAAATTCTCTGTTTAGAAAGTGCAGCATCTTAGAGCACTTCTCTCTGTGGTATCAGAGGTGGTCAAAGGTCAGACACAGGCTGTCATAATCRTGGGAGTGTGCAGACTGCTCTTTGGTGCCAGCATCAGGTACTACTGAGGACAAGCTTAACGAATGAAGGTTGGCTGAATTAAGACAAAGGAAACCGGGAAACGGGCCTTTCCCTCCACCTTTTTTTCAGTTTTGCTCACGTCTACTTTATTAGGCCAGTGGTCCTTTACAAAATACAAGTTTTCCTGTAGCTCATTACAGCCTGTCAGAGGTCTTTGGCAACTAAGAAACTCATTCTGAAATCTAGTAGCCATTTTTAGTCAGACATTTTGAAAGTTAAAACATCAAGGACATTAGAGGCAATGTCCTGAAGAGGAACTGGTCTGTGACTTACAGGCCATTGTGTGGTAAATGCTGGGCCAGTACTGGCCGCTGTCTCTTTTCAGCCATACTCGGATGGTTCTGTGGAGAAAGAAAAGAGTGGTCTTTAGAAATACTGTCTTCTTTTGTATTCCATGAAAACTTATTTTTTTAAATAATGTTCAATACCATCTCCTAACTGACCTTACAAAGCTAATCAAGTAGACAACCTGGACAAATATACATATATAAACATACACCTCTACAGTAGATAGTATGTCACATATAGTACATATACTATATATACACAGTTACATATATGTGACCATGTATGTTGAGTTAACAAGAGCCTAGGAGTCAGGATTTCAAGTGACTTTAATAATGTGGAAATGTTCTTCACATAATGATAGACAAAGAAAGCTGAGAACTACTAATTGTTTTTCTTGGTAAAACCAATTGTGTGAACATAGTAACTGACTGAGTAGCAGTCACCAAGGAAAGCAGTGGATCTGAAGGGGACGAAAATGTGTGTGGAGAGGTGGGAGTTGGACAGGCCGTGAAGGGCCACGCTGATTCACCAACGGTTCTCCACCTACCCATCACCCCCGCSGGAAGGAAATCATCCCACACCACACCTCTTTCATCAGAACATGCACAGACCTGAGGAAATCCTGCTTGAGTGCAGGAAGATGACAGTGACCAACACAGGCAAAGCTTAACATCCCAGTCTCCTGCAAAAGGAGAGAACACAGGGACAGTCCCGCTGCTCTGTGCTCCAGAACTTCTAAGCTCAGGCACTGGCTTGTCACCTTTTTGGGGGCTCTCATTCTGCTGGTACTTGCCAGCTCTGCCTTTGCAACCACTCACAACCTTCTCATCATCCATGGTCAACTCTGCCACAGTCACATTTATACATATAATAGCAACAGAGACTCGCTCACAGTAGGTGCTGAATAAATGCTTCTAACTTTAAACTGAAATATATCAACACCAAGTACTGATACACACACTCACACACACACACACACACACCACACATATATACGTGTGTGTGTGTGTGTGTGTGTGTGTATTCCCTTCCCTTTTCTTTCCCTTTTTTTATGTTCAAGACAAGTAAAATTGGTTTTAGAGATGAAAACATCAGAACAGTGGTGGTTGCTTCTGGGGAGGAGGCAGATGGCAGAGATGTGAGGAAACTTTCGAGAGGAACAGCCAGGCTCCAGAGATGGGGACCATGGGTGTYCACATGTGCTGGAACTTGCTCCACTATGCTTAAGATGTATGGAGACTACTGTATATGATTAAAAGGAAACTGAAACTAGAGGGTGACTTTCATTGATCCAAATAAGTAAGGTGGCGTGGCAGCACAGTGAGCTAATGCTATTTTGCATGTGAACTGGATAAAAGCCTCAAGGCAACTGTGAGCTGATCAAGGCTTTAGCTCCAGCTACCAGTTCATAAGACACGAAGAAGACAGAGGAACATGTTGAACACCACAACAGGGCTGCGTTCACCAAAGAAAGACTATAGACAAATGCACAAAAGTCTATAGACAAATGTCACTGTTCTGTTCTAAACAAATAATAGTTCCTCAATATCACCTTGGCCTGACTCCACGGCAGCTTACTCTCATCTTCCCTCCTGGGCTCTGTCCCTGCTCTGCTCTGGTCCACTGCTATTATATCAAATGCCAGCTGCATATCCCCAGCAGCCACRCATGTCACACTGCTCCTGTGTTCAGCATCTACCGGTGTTTTTTGCAAATCCAGGGTTCAACTGACAAATTTAGTTCATGTGACTTCAATTCAGGCCCTGAGTTCCAGTGAGCAGTCATCCCTGAGCTCTTCCGAAATGTCCACTCAGACTAAGCACTCAGTCCACCTCCCTCACCACCCAACGGAGAACCTTTCTCTCCAGACTGTGCTTTTCTAGGCAGATGGCAGGATGGGTGCCAGTTCAGCACAACTCYTTCATCTAAAGAACCAATGGGAGCTTATAATGTGATCCTTAGGACTGGGCTTCCAACATGACCTTACTTATGTTGACTACACTCTGTGTTACTGCAAGCAGAATGCATATGATACATTTCAACACAGCAGATGAAGCCAAAAGAGGTGTACAGAGAGGCCAACTCCCAGCAGAGCACTAAGTCTATTCAAGGATTYCCCTCCATGTCCAAGTACATGGTAACACAGGCCAATGCACGTCAAGGTCAAGGCTTCATGCCAAACCATTTCCAGTTCACCAACTTCACTTACCAATTTGTACAAGGATCACCAAGGGTTAGACCTGACAGCTACTTGACACATTCTAAACCTCTGAATCCCAAAGGTCTTAGGTCATGAATGTGTAGGTAACCCAGATGACTGAGTAGTGCATGCTCTTCCCTCTTCCCTTGGAAAGGACAATATTCAGGTATCAGAGAACCCTGCTGTCAGAAGAAATCTTAGAGGTCACCTCTCCATCCAATCACTGAACCCTGAAAAGTCAAGTTTCATACACCTTTGGAATAATAAATAAATCAGCCCAAGGTCAAAATGGGACTTACTAGACCCCAGCATTTGGAGATAGTCTTATTTTCTTTGTAGGACAAACATCAGCATACAACTTGGTCTGCACAATCTGGATCCAGCCTAGGACCTGACTAGCAAACTGAGAAATTAGCCTTTATACACATTTCTTCAAATGTTTCTTCTGAACACTGCTTACCACATCCAGGCTGAGAGAAGGCCACCCTAGTGTGGGAATCAGATTTCAAGTTTAGGCCTTGACTTTGGCAGCTGGCTSTACCTCTGTATCTACACCTTCCATCCCGCGTTCCCTTCCAGCCTCTTCAAATCAGACTCTTCCCCCCAGGCACTGCTAAATCTTCCACTTAAAAGATCAAATCAAATTAATGTTAAGTTTAAGCCCTAACACCCTAGTATTCTTAAGGCTCTACCTATTAAACAGCGTTGCCTAATTTCTGTGAGTGATATAAYAATTTGTTTTATATACGGTCAGAACATTTCTCACTGACTTAACAAATAGCTGTAAAAATAGGCTTATGTCAGGCTACTTATTAGAAAAAATTGATAAGTTCCAGACCAAAAAAATTACTGTTTAGTAAACTCAAAACAAAATCTACCATTCAATAATTTGAAAGCAACACATTAATATAGTTTAGTCACATTTTACCAAATGCAAACTTATTTCAAATTCTACAATGATATTAATAAACCATCTAATTACCAAAGTGTCAAGATCAGATGGTTTTATTTTTACATAAGCCACAATATTTTATGCCAGATGAATGTCTAAGCCACTCTCTCCACAAAGATAAAATCAAACAGCTGAATTTTTCCTTCAGTATTTTGACAACTTTACTCCCACACACCTAAACTCATTTTATATTTTTCCTGTCACTTATTCTACCCATTTTTCTAGTGGCTGGATCTTCTTTGATATTCCAAGATCATGTCAATCTGAAAAGCAAATCATTCCTTAAAACCACAACTTTAGAAACATGTTCATTCTTTTCCAAGTTCTATTTTCAAGTTGTTTGAAAACAATAGCATGATGTTTTTTCCAAAAGGTACTTGGAAAGGAAATGTGCCTTTTTTTTCCCCTGAGGCTGTATAAGTGGTTTCCGAATCCCCCCATGCTGCTCTCCCTGTGGAGGGCTTCCACTGTCAGGTCCTCTGGCCTTCAGTATAACACAGGGGATCTCACAAGAGTTGGTAACGCTGTATGCAYCGTAACTGCAGTGTGCGCAATGCTACCTTCCCTTCATTTGCTAACTGCAGAACTGTTCAGGTTTCACATGTTTTCCAGATACATGAAATGACAAAGTTAGACCATATTTTGTTATTTTAAATATGTCAGACTAAAATGCTTTCATAATATATTGTTATGCAGGGATAAGTAAAAAGCAACTCAAAACARCAATGAAATGCCACTTCTRGGGACCTCAATTTTTTGTCAGTGTTAATTAACTCTTAGGCAAGAATTTTGCTCCATATGGTGAGAAAATTCATACTTTCCTGATAATAATAATCACACAAAAATAATGATAAACTTTGATTCAGGAATTACAGGCTTAGAATTGGTTCTAAAGAAATTATTTAATAGGGAAAAAAAGAACCACACATTTAAAAAGTTCCTATATGCATTAGTAAGGAGTAAAAATGAGGAGAAAAAGGTTAAATAATGAAATGGTTTAATAATATAGTCATTCATTAGCAAACATAAGATACTATATTATCCACTAATAATTTATATTATAATAATTCATAATGCCTATAGCTTAGTTATTAAAATAGGAAGACCTAGAGGCACAGGAAAAAGTTTATGAAGTGTTTGGCTTTTCTTAAAAAGAGCATATCATAATAAAATYATACAACTAAATTGTGTGTCCACACCGTGTCTGCTTCGCAGGCCATGGGGATCCTGATCCAGAGCAGGAGGTAAAGAGAGGGAACGTGGTGAGACAGACAGGCTCTGGCTCTCATGAAGAGGCAGCAGATAGGACAACAGCAGGTCCTCCTGACCTCCCCAGCAGGCCAACAGTCACACACTTCACAAGGAGCCCAGGAGCACTGCGTGACTCCGTTCTGTCTGCTGCTCGAGTGTGGCCATTGGACTCTAGATGTAAAAAAGGTCCACTCTCTGAGTGTCTGTCTATGTCAACAATGAGAGCAATGAGGCTGAGGAGAACAGCTGGGGTCAGTCTCAAGCTCCTGTGTAGCCAGAGGCTCGGACTCAGGGGCGATTTCAAGTACACTGCAGCCACTTTCCTTCTTTAATGAGCTTCAGCAGGGCCGCTGAGGACTCTCGCTCTGTAGTCTGCGCTGGCCTTCAACGTCAACTCGTGCCCGGGCAGGCTTCGGAGTCTGCAGCACATTCTGCCAACAGTGAGTCCACCGGGAGTTCAGCCCTTTCCATGGGGGACAGGGCAGGGGGTGAGGGAGCCCTGACCCCAACCGGGAGACATGGACCTGGACACAGCTGGCGGTACGTGGGTAGGCTGCGGTTTGACAGGTTCATTCCCAAAGGAGCGAGAGCAGAGGGAGGGCCAGCAAGGCTGGGCAATGAGGTCAGATGTAAAAACGCAGGGAAAGAGA